TGTGCTGTCACAGTATGGAGAGAGCAATTAGGGTCACATAAGAATACATGTATAAATTTTTGTATGGGAGACTAACTTGAAACGTAAACTTCATTTAAACTACAACAACAAAAAAATTAAAACAAATTTTTTTTGAGAACATAAAATTATCTCTTTTTTCCAAGATGTGGAGATGGCTATAGAATATAAAAAATTTTCCATGCTTTATGAGCTTAACAGGCTTCTGGGTTCCATGACTGACCAAGCTCACAGTGGTTGCTTATTTATTCAATACGTGGGATGAGAGTCTTTAGGAGAGCTGTATACCACATATCACGTTATTGTATTGGACATTTCTGTGTTTAAAGATTCTTCCAAAGTAATGACATTGCAAGTTGCCTTTTTACTTTTGGAAATCTGATCGTTCTATTCCAAGTTCATGATGCTCACAGAACTGGCCCTTAGGTGGGTCTTTATAATAATTTCATTTTTGGATCACATTGGATAGAAGGTGAAGGTTGGCTTGCTGGCGAGGAAAGCCCTGGGTCTGTTATGTTGCCTATTCCCTGCTCACTGACAGATTGAGGTTGTTATTGTTGTTGTTCTGTATTTGATAATGTACAGCCTACCATTGGCTTATTAGCTCCCTGTGGTTAAGTTGTTGTTCTTGTTGTTAGTTGCCTTTAGTTTGCTCCAACTCATAGAGACCCTATGAATAACAGAACAAAACATTGCCTGGTCCTGTGCCATCATCAAGGTCATTGGTATGTTTGAGTCCATTGTTGTGGACATTGTGTCAATCCATCTCATTGAGGGTTTCTCTTGTTTTCTCTGACCCTCTACTTTACCAAACATGATGTCCTTTTCTAGCGATTGGTCTATTGACGTGTCCAAAGTAAACAAGATGAAGTCTCACCATTCTTGCTTCTAAGGAGCATTCTAGTAGTATTTCTTCTAAGACTGATTTGTTCATTGTTCTGGCGGTCCATGGTAAGACTATTCAATATTCTTTACTAGCACCACAATTTGAATGTGTCAGTCCTTCTTCTGTCTTCGTTTTTCACTATCCAACTTTCACATGCATATAAGGGCAATTGAAAACAGCATGGCTTGGCTCAGGTGCACTTTAGTCATCAAAATGACATCCTTGCTTTTAAAACATTAAAGAGGTCTTTTGCAGATTTATAGTAAATTAAAGGCCAACATATCCAAAGTTACATGCATTCTGGGACAGAAACAAGAATATAGCTTGTGGTTGGCCTTTTCTTTATGTTGGGAGGAAAGCTGGGGTGCCTTGGGTATGGCGTGCCTGATTCCCAGCTTCTGCACCATTTCTTTCCCCATCGCTGGAATCAGTGCTCCATGAGAGCTAGAGCATAAAGCCCTTACAGCCAGTATTCATGCCTCTGAATTCCTCATTGCTGATAATCCCTCCCTTGAGATGCAGTGACTTCCTATTTGCCTAGGCCAGTAATCTGTCACCATCTACTTTGGAGACTATGTTCTGTTCACCAGACAATATGGTGCCCATCACTGTCCACCAGACAACAGATGCATTGGATGAGTCAGTCTAGTTGAGGCCTTCATCCCATCTAGGCTGTGCCACCCACTGTATTTGGTCAGCAGATATGATATCCTATGGAGTCCATCCCATTTGCTTCCCCAGGCTGTAGAGTTGCATTATCCTCAATGCCACAGTAGGTGTATTGTGCACCCAGTGATGAGGTCATGGCAGAACCAGTGATGAAGTCTCTCATGCCCAGAGCCCTCTTCTAGGTGAATCTCTGGGTTTTGCAACCAAAAGAGTTGGTATAGCATGGTTTGAGATGCACAAGTATGTCATATAACTAAAAATGAATGCGTGATAGTGAAATAAACACAGAAAATGAGTTGAGTTATCCGAAAAACCAAAGAATAGATTAATAAACCAAACCCGTTGCTGTAAAGTTGCTTCTGACTCATAATGACCCTATAGGACAGAGTACAACTGCCCCATAGGGTTTCCAAGGAGCAGCTGGTGGGTTTGAACTGCTGACTTTTTGGTTAGCAGCTGAGCTCTTAACCACTGCACCAGCAGGGCTCCAATAGCTCCATTCAGATAGGAGGGGGTTAGCTCCCTCCTCCTAGTTTGCACCCCAGTGGTTTCTGGGATTCTTCCAAAAGGTGTCTCAAAGTTCACACAAACAAGCCTGTTAGCTGCAGGTACCATGTGGCACTCATTCCCTTCTTCCTCTGGTCTCACTCGTCCTCATCTGCTTCCTACAAAGTTGCTTGGAGAAGTACTTCTTTGCTAAGCTCCGTTGCTCCCTATGCCTAGAATGCCAGTATTTTCCTAAGCTTCCAATCCTTGGGGGGCAGTGTGGTACAGACAGCAGGGGGAAAGTCTCCCCCAACCAGGTAACCCCAACTTGGTTACCTGGGCCCTAGAACTGCACTATTTGCATCCAGAAATTCACAATGTATGTCTTGAATGGTTTTCACAAGTGACTGGCCTTTACCCCCTTACTCACAGGACCTAAGTGAAGTCTGTGGCATCTAGATGAGAAACAAGACACTACATCATCCCCTCCAGCCATCTTTGTCTGGCCTCCACCCCTCACTCACCAAAAACCCTTCTCCTCACTAACTGCTAACCAACTCATACTGGTGTGCTTTTGTGTGTTTGCAGATGGTATATTTTCTTCCTGCAGTAGTCAGACAAAAATGCCTATGACCTCATCCATTCCCAAGGCTTCAATTATATGCGGAAGATTCCAAGTCAAAATCTTCAGCCAAGAACTTTCTCCCAGGATCCATATAGGTGATTTCCAGTTTTCACTGGTACTTCTTCATCTGGATATCTGTCTTAGTCATCATTGCTGCTATAACAGAAATGCCACAAGTGGATGGTTTAACAAGAGAAATTTATTTTCTCACAGTCTAGTAGGGTAGAAGTTCAAATTCAGGGCGTCAGCTCCAGGGGAAGGCTCTTTCTGTCAGCTCTGGAGGAAGGTCCTTCTCATCAATCTTCCCCTGGACTAGGAGCTTCTCTGTGCAGGAACCCCGGGTCCAAAGATGTTCTCTGCTTCCAGTGGTTCTTTCTTGGTGGTATGAGGTCCCCCATACTCTGCTTGCTTCCCTTTCCTTTTATCTCTTGTAAGATAAAAGGTGGTGCAGACCACACCCTAGGGAAACTCCCTTTATATTGGATCAGGGATGTGACCTTAGTAAGGGTGTTATACAATACCACCGTAATCCTCTTTAATATAAAATTACAATCACAAAATGGAGGACAGCCACACAATACTGGGAATTATGGCCCAGCCAAACTGATACACACATTTTTTGGGGGACATAATTCAATCCATAACAATGTCTTACATGCACTTTAAATTCAGTGTAACCCCAACTAAACTTTCTACCTTACCCCATAAATGAACTGTTCTTTTCTTCCTTAGCTTCCCAGTCTGTAGATTCTCTTTTTACTCTTTTGGTGAAGTCTTTTGATGAGCATAAGTGTTTAATTTTTAGAAGATCCCAGTTATTAGCTTATCTTCTGGTGTTTGTGAATTGTTCGTTACGGTTTGTATCCTGTTAATGCTGTGTATCAGGGCCTCTAGCATTGGCCCTATTTTTTCTTCTATGATCTTTATTGTTGTTGATTTTATATTTAGATCTTTGATCTGTTTTAAATTAGTTTTTGTGTATAGTGTGAGGTATGGGTCCTGATACAACGCTGGAAGTGCTCACTCATCTTAAATTTGAAAGTCAGTTACCTGGTCGCAAACTGGAAGAGATCCATATTCATGCTTATTCCAAAGAAAAGTGATTTAATGGAATGTGGAAATTATTGAACAATGTCATTAATATCACACGCAAGCAAAATTTTGCTGAAGATAATTTAAAACAAGCTACAGCCATACATCAAACTGGGAACTGCTAGAAATTCAAGCTGGATTCAGAAGACGACATGGAATGAGGGATATAATTGCTGATGTCAGATGGATCGTGGCTGAAAAAAGAGAATACCAGAAAGATGTTTACCTGTGTTTTATTGACTATTCTAAGGCATTTGACTATGTGGATCATAACAAATTATAGATAATATTGTGAAGAATGGAAATTACAGAAGATTTCATTGTGCTCATATGGAACTTGTTACATAGATCAAGAACAGAACAAGGAGATACTGTGTGGTTGAAAATTAGGAAAAGGTGTGTCAGGGTTGTATCCTTTTACCATATTTATTCAATCTGTATGCTGAGCAAATAACCTTAGAAGCTGAACGTGGCATCAGGATTGGAAGAAGACTCATTAACAGCTTGCAATATGCAGATGACACAACCTTGCTGCTGAAAATGAAGAGGACTTAAAGCACTTACTGATGAAGATCAAAGATTACAGCCTTCAGTATGGATTACACCTCAATATAAAGAAAATGAAAATTCTTAAAACTGGACCAATAAACAACATCATGATAAATGGAGAAAAGATTGAAGTTGTCAAGGATTTCATTTACTTGGATCCGCAATCAACGCCCATGGAAGAAGCAGTCAAGAAACCAAATAATGTGTTGCGTTAGGCAAATCTGCTGCAAAAGACCTCTTTAAAGTGTTGAAAAGCAAAAACGTCACCTTGATAACTAAGGTGCACCTAACCCAAGCCATGGTATTTTCAATCGCCTCATATGCATGTAAAAGCTGGACAATGAAAAAGGAAGACCGAAGAAGAATTGACCCATTTGAATTGTGGTGTTGGTGAAGAATATTGAATACATCATGGACTGCCAGAAGAATGAATAAATCTGTCTTGGAGGAAGTACAGCCAGAATGCTCCTTAGAAGCGAGGATGGTGAGACTTTCTTTGTCTTGCTTACTTTGGACATGTTATCAGGAAGGACCAATCCCTGGAGAAGAACATCATGCTCGGTGAAGAGGAGGGTCAGCAAAAAAGAGGATTAAATGGATTGACATATGGCTGTGAGGATTTCAAAGGACTGGATAATGTTTCCTTGTGTTATACATAGGGTCACTACAAGTCAGAGCTGACTGGGTGGCACCTAACAAGAGCAATACACATATATATACATTTGTGTATATATATATATGTGTGTGTATATACATATGTGTGTGTGTGTGTGTGTGTATGTATACAATTCAAATTGAAGCATTGTTTATAATACCAAAAAATTCTGGAAACAACTTAAATATTCACTGATAGGATAATAATTATATTATGATACACTATATAACGGAACATGAAAGATCTCTTAAACATGTTATTAAGGGAAAAGCAAGAGCTATAACAGAATATATATTATGACCTTATCTATGAATATATGTACGTCTTTAAAGATATGTGTGTTTTTGTATGCATTAAAATTTCTAGAAGAATACATGAAAAACAGTATGCAGTTGTTATTTCTGGTAGGTAAGGATGTTGAGACTTTTTTTTGATTGTGCTTTAGGTGAAAGTTCACAGCTCAAGTTAATTTCTCACTCAAAAATTTATACACATGTTGTTTTGTGACATTGGTTGCAATCCCCACAATGTGACAGCACACTCCTAATTTCCACCCCGAGTTCCCTGTGTCCATTTGACCAGTTCCTGTCCCTTCAGGCCTTCTCATCCTGCTTTTGGACAGGGGCTGTCCATTTGGTCTCGTGTATCTGGTTGAACAAAGAAGCACGTTCCTCACCTGTATTATTTTTTTGTTTTATAGTCCTGTCTAATCTTTCTCTGAGGAGTGGGCTTCAGGACTGGTTTCAGTTCTGGATTAAAAGAGCATCTGGGGGCCATAGTTTTGGGGGTTTCTCCAGTCTCTGTCAGACCATTAAGTCTGGTCTTTTTATGTGACTTTGAATTTCTGTTCTATAGTTTTCTTCTGCTTTGTCCAGGACTCTCTGCTGTGATCACTGTCTGGGCAGTCATTGGTGGTAGCCGGGCACCATCTAGTTCTTCTGGTCTCAGGCTGGTGGAGTCTCTGGTTCATCTGGTCCTTTAGTCCTTTGGGCTAGTATTTTCCTTGTGTCTTTGGTTTTCTTCATTCTCCTTTGCTCTGGGTGGGATGGGACCAATAGACGTATCTTAGATGGCTGCTGGCAAGCTTTTAAGACCCCAGGCGCTACTCACCAAAGTGGGATGTAGAACATTTTCTTTATAAACTATGTTATGCCAACTGACCTAGATGGCCCTCAAAACTATGGCCCCCAGGCCCTAGCCCCAACTACTCTGTTCCTCAAAGTGTTTGGATTTGCCTAGGAAACTTCCATGCTTTTGCTTTAGTCCGGTTGTGCTGACTTCCTCTGTATTGTGTGTTGTCCTTCCCTTCACTGAAGTTGACCCTTGTCTACTATCTAGTTAGTGATTTCCCTCCCCGTCCCTCTCCACCCTCGTAACCATCAAGGAATGCTTTTTTCTGTGTTTAAACCTTTTCTTGAGTTCTTATAATAGTGATCTCTTACAATATTTGTCCTTTTGTGACTGACTTATTTCACTCAGCATAATGCCCTCCAAATTCAGGATGTGGAGACTTTTAACATTTGTTTCATAGTCTTTTTTCACTATTTCAGTGTTTGAAAATCATGTGCATGTAGCAGCTTCACAATTGAAAAGCTAGTTTGAATAAAAATACTTAAACAAAAAAAGCAAATCTGATTGTGTTATGCCCCTAGTTAAAGTCCTTTAGCAGGAAAGCCCTTGGGATGGCAAGGCAAGGCGATTCAAACCTGCATGTTTCTGCTCAGCCCACCCACCACATGAAATGCTCCCAAATGTGTTGTGCTCATGCAGAACCTCACAAACCTCGGTGTCACTTCTGCCTGGGAATGCAGCTCTGTCTGATGTGGCAAAATCTCAATTTATAGGAGTGCTGAAGGTTTCTGAATAATTTAGGTTTCTAATTAAAACAATTCTTTTAGGTTTCAACTGTAGTTGAAACATCTTTCTAAAATGAATGAGTTCACTTTCTTGTCTTAATAAATCCAGTAGGGTGAATATAATCTAAAGTAATTTTTTTTTTCTCCCTGAGGTTGTATTTCAGTGTTTGTAAAGCAATTCTTAATAATACAGTGCTGTATAGAAGTAGGAAATCCTGGTGGCGTAGTGGTTAAGACTTCCGCTGCTAACCAAAAGGTCAGCAGTTTGAATCTACCAGGCGCCCCTTGGAAACTCTGTGGAGCAGTTCTTCTCTGTCCTGTAGCGTTGCTATGAGTCAGAATTGACTGCAATGGGCTTGGTTTTTTTTTTTGGTATAGAAGTAGAATCAACTCAACAGCAACAGGTTTGATTTTGGTTTGTTATAGAAGCAAGTGTGGAAAGTTTCCCAGTTACAAATAATAATAATAATAAAATAAAAATTAACTAAATACCTAGTCTGTGCCCTTTTTGGGAGTAGCTCAGAGAAATATGTCTGCTTAATTTTGGGTCTGAGAGACACAAGATCTCACTCGACCACTGTTAGTCCCTACAATCCTAATAAAATTTCTTGGCAGTGGTGCTGAGGGTGGGTTATAATGCTCTTGCCTACGTCAACATCATGTTGTAAATCTTAGAGGTAAACCGACACAGGAAGTTAGAGCTACCAGGCTTCTGAGTGGGCAAAAAATCCACGTGGCACATTTGTAAAACCATAATAAAAACTGTGTTTTAAAGGCAGTACACAATATACTGTACATGTAAGGCTTATTCAAAATATTATGACTTCCCATCTCATCTCTGGTTATTGGGTCCAGCCGGGGAGGGGACACCTGTTGAATTTCTTGTACTGTATCCTTCTGAAGGGTGGTGGTGGTCACAGAAAGACTGCAAGTCTGGGAGAGGCCCACCATTGCTCTTCGCTGTGGCGTTTGGCTGGAGTAGAGAGGTTATTGTCTAGAAGTTTTCGGTCTTGCTAAGTTGCCTCATTCTTGGTTCTTTTAGTAAAAAGAATAGGCTTTTGTTGGGTTTTTTTTTTTTTTGTTTCTGTGTCTACTGGCCTTTTGGGGTTGCCAGCTTCTTCAGAGCCTAGTCTGGGATGTACGAGGCAAAAAAGAAAACTCAGGGAACTCACCACCATGTTGTTTCTTGAGTTCCGAGGTCACTAGCCAGTCTGCTTTCTTCTCTCCACCTTCCAGAGTCTTCTTATCTTTTATATATAATGCCTACAGTTTTTAGTTGTACTTAGCGGGAAGAACAGGGAAAAGTATATCCACTCCATGTTTCTGGAAGTGAAGTTTATTTTTCCATAAGATTTCTACAAAGGATGATTTGCCCTGATACCTAGATAGCCTGCATATTTTATTTTCTATATTTCTGTCTTTCAAAGCAATTTGGGGGGTATTTGTGTTACCAGCAGGGCACTCAAGGTGGGGGTATGGAGCTCCCCATTTGTCTTTCCACTGGCCCTCTTTGATTTCACACCTGTCATTTAAACATATTTCTGTTTTAATGCAAAACTCACTTGGGTGGTACTAACCACAGAGTGAAGCTGGGGATCCCGGGGCTCAAGAGGCTGCTGCCAGCTGGCCCTTAAGCCACCCTGCTCCCACATTCAAGGAAAGGTGGTCTCGAGTTTTTATCCAACTTACATTGTCATCCAAGTCCTCAACTTCCAGTGCTTCACAAGGCTCATCCATTAAATTCTCGAAATAGTTCGTTTTAGAAACAGACTCCATGACTTTCATTTTTGGAAGCCACATCAAAAGGAAAGGCATTTGGAAAGAAAGCCAAAGAAGAAAAAAAGGAAAGAAATTTATGACATTTACTCTTGCCCTTTTGAATAAAAAAGTATACACCATCAATAAGACTTTAAATAAGTTCATCAAATTACCTCAACTTCAACTATAAAATAGGACTGTTGTCGTCAGCTGCCTTCGAGTCAGCCCCCCACTCATGCCAACAGTCATGGATTGAATTGTGTCCCCCAAAAATATCTGTCCACTTGGCTGGGTCATGATTCCCTGTATTGTATAATTGTGTACCATTTTGTAATCTGATGTGATTTCCTTATGTGTTGTAAATTCAATCACTATGATCTAATAAGATGGATTAGTGGCAGTTATACCGATAAGGTCTACAAGATTGGATGGTGTCTTAATTCAATCTCTCTTGGGATATAAAAGAGAGAAGCAAGCAGAGACACATGGGAACCTCATACCACCAAGAAAGCAGTGCCAGGAGCAGAGTGCATCCTTTGGACCTGAGGTTCCTGTGCAGAGAAGCTCCCAGACCAAGGGAAGACTGATGACATGGACCTTCCTCCAGAGCCAACAGAGAAGGCCTTCCCCTGGAGCTGACGCCCTGAATTTGGACTTCTAGCCTACTGGACTGTGAGAGAATAAACTTCTCTTTGTTAAAGCCATCCATTTGTGGTATTTCTGTTATAGCAGTACTAGATGACTAAGACACCGACCCTATGAATTACAGAGCAGAACTGAGCTCCATAGGGTTTTCTTGGCTGTAATCTTTACAGAAGCAGTTCGCCAGGCCTGTCTCCTGCAGAGCCCCTGGTGGGTTGGAACCGCCAACCTTTCAGTTAGCAGAAAATCGCAAACTGCTGTCGCTACCCAGACTCCTGAAATAGGACCAAAAGGGTCAGTTTCAGTGAGTGCTTTAAGAAAGTGAGTATGTGTTCCTGGTGGCTGGTAAAGGTCTGTCTGACCAAGTGGAGTCTGAGGGTGTCCTGAATGGAGTCATAGATGAGTAGGCAGACAGCTGAGGAAGGGCATTCCTGGCAGAGGGACTAGGAGGTGTAGTGGTCCTGAGGTGGGAGTATATTTGCCTTATTTGACAAACTGTAGTGGCATAATGGGCACAGTCTGACCAGAGAGGAGAGAGTGTGAAGAAGGGCGGTAGAAGGGGAGGTCATGGAGGGAGCCAGGAGCCAGGAGCCAGGGGCCAGCTCACAAAGGAGCTGAGGGAGATTTATTCTAAGAGTTATTTTCTCTTGGAAATCCTAAGAAATATTCCTGTCTTCTACCAGTTTTGCAAAAAAGCACCGATTTCTAGAATTGTGTATTGTTCATAAATGCTAATCTAAGTATAAGAGATGAATCCTGAAGCAACTGAGCTAAAGAAGGTCTAACTTAGAGAGTGAATGCTCAAGGTCAGCCCAAGGTCAGCCACAGCCTCCTGATTCTCTGGGCCAGGGGAGGGCCTTAAAGCCTCCAGTGGCAATGGGGTGCAAATTGAATTGTGGAATTGATAATTACAATGTGGGTTTTGCTTCCTTACTCTTGGGAAGGTGTGGATCCGGAGGTGTGAGCTCGAAGAAAAGTGGTTCTCACAAGATAATTGGACCCTCAGGGAAATTTTCAGAGGCCTGTTGTCTCAGCTTCAAGATGACACCAGTCCCTTCAAGCTGGGACATCCACAGAGCCTTGAACATCCACCAGGTTAGGCACAGGGCTGACCTATTGAGTGTCTCTATTATGCCTTTGGAAACCCTGGTGGCATAGTGGTTAAGTGCTATGGCTGCTAACCAAAAGCTGGGCAGTTTGAAACCACCAGGAGCTCCTTGGAAACTCTATGGGGCAGTTCTATCCTGCCCTATAGGGTCACTAGGAGTTGGAATCGACTCAACGGCAGGTTTTGTTTTGTTTTGTTTTATTATGCCTTTAGGAGTTCCTGGGTGGTGCAGACAGTCATCTTGCTCAGCTGCTAACTGAAAGACCTGCAGTTCCAGTCCACCCAGAGGCACCTCAGAAGAAAGGCCTGGCAATCTACATCCAAAAAAGCAGCCATTGAAGACCCTGCGGAGCACAGCTCATCTCTGACACACATGGGGTTGCACTCTATGGCAACTGATTATTATTATTATTATTTTCTGTTTTTTATTATGCCTTTAGGGGAGGAAAGGAGACATTCTTTGTGATCTGAATACACGTTAGCTAGCTTTGCACTTCTTCCCAATTTTGGTTCCACAGTAAAAACTCTGATAACTCTGGGCTCCTATGGGATGGAGAACACCACTACGATGGATCTGCCTTGATTGATACAAGGCCTAGGGCCCTTTCTGCCTGTGGCCCTCCTTTGCCAGTCCTATTCTGTCCCCAACAGAAACTTTCCATGTCTGAGTTGGGCTGTGAGCTGCGAGAATTCTCCGTGCAGTGTCTTACACCAGTTCCCGCAGGCACACATCCGTTCTCACCAGTGTACTCACAGCCTGGCAAAGGCAAGGGGTACTTTAAGCTTGTGTCCAACAACCTTCTACTCTCCCAAACTGTGGGCTGTGGAAATGACTGAGAGAAGTTCTGAAAAGCAATTCAGGAAAAGCCAACAACAGTCCATGATAATTGAAGCCAGCATTCAGGAAGCTCCTTCTGGGTAGCACTGGTGAGGAGAAATAGATTGGTAGAATTCTTTCTAGGGGTCTGAAGAGACTGAGGAGCAGAGCCTCCTTAAGGCAGGCTACCTTCCATGTTTCTGCCCCTAAAAATTGAGAATGAGAGTATGGCTGGGGCCCTGATAGCTCAGCCAATTCCCATCATTTGTGATTGCCGTATTTTAATAGGCTTTATTGAATAAGATATACGCATTCTGGAAATGAAAAAGGTAGGTGATTATCAAGGGAAAAAGGTGGACTTGGCAGCTCTGAACATTGAACAGCAGTTTTAGAAGCGTTCCATTCAACGTAATAATTAACCTTATTAGCATCAGCCGGCACTGTCTGCATGACAAGCCCAGCACCATAAATAAGCTGCAACACAGTTATAACTGGGGCTGAATCCAGAAGTAAAAGCTTTACTTCTAATTAACTTTCCTTTTGGGGATTTCCGTCAGCCTCTACTTCTGTTCAAGTGAGATAATTATCTACTCCTGAGGCTGCTCCCAGGAAGGGTGGGGGTGGGCTGTGAGAAAGCCGGGGGCAGGGGAAGTGTCAGGCCAGGGCTGGGTGGTGGCCCTGTCATCCAGGGCCTGGGGGACCTGCAGCAGTCACCGAGCCCTTTGCACCCCAGTTCCCTCATCTGTGTAATGGGAAAATAGACTCTTGGTGAGGGTGCTCAGAGCATCAGTGCTAACGCAGGTAAACGTCTGGCCCTGTGTGTTCTAAACATGGAGCGGGTCCCCCTGGTCTGATTAAGACACATCTTAATTCTTCCTCATCCAACTGCCTCTCCTCCAACGTTTTTCTCGGCAGAGCAGCAGTTCCTGAAGCTGGGATAGACACGTGAGCCGCGCATATTTGCCACGTTGGGTAGATGAGGTAATCCCCAGGGTACAGATGAGAAAAGGGAGGAGGAAGCAGTGAGTGACCAGCCCACGGGCTGATGGCCCTGCTCTGCTGATTAACCAGCACACAGCTGGAACTCCTCTCTTCACTCCCTCGGCCGTTTCGCATAGTGAGTGTCCTGGGCAGGGAGGACCCAGGGATGGGAGTTCTGGCGGTTGCTATGGGCACCACTCTATAAACTGTTCTAAAACCTTGCTACTCAAAGTACCATCCATGGATCAAGAGCATCAGCAGCTGCTGGGAGCTCACTAAAAATGCAGAATCTCAGACCTGCTGAATAGGAGTCTGCATTTTAACGAGATCCCCAGGTGACTCCCATGCACAGGAAAGTTTGAGTTGTTAGTTGTCTTCCAGTCCCACCCATGGCAAAATCCCAGGTGTTACAGAGTAGAAAGGCTCCATAGGGTTTTCTTGGCTGCAATCTTCATGGAAGCAGATCACCAGGCCATTCTTTCATGCTGCTGCTGGGTGGGTTCAAACCGCCAACAGCTAGATTAGCAGTTGAGTGCAAACCTGTTTGAGCCACAAGGGGACCTAAAGTTTGAGTAGCACTGCTCTAAAACATCACTGGAAATGGAATAAATTGGACAAAATTGTATTTAGTAGTGCCCTTCTATGGAGACCTGGTGGTGCAATAGTTAAGGGCTCAGCTGCTAACCAAGAGGTCAGCGGTTCAAACCTACCAGCCACTCCATAGGAGAAAGACCTGGAGATCTGCTCCTGTAAAGACTAGCCTAGGAAACCCTATGGGGCAGTTCTGCTCTGTCACATGGGGTCGCTATGAGTCAGAATCAACTGGACAGAGCACAACAATAACAGTGACCTTCTCGGGAAGAGGTGTGCTCTTAAGTTTGAAAGATTTGTTTGATGAGCCCTGGGGGCGGGGAGTAGTGGGAGGGGCAAGGTTAAGGGGGCAGTTTGGGGTGTGTGTATATGTGTAAGACCTGATTCCCACTCTCTATTCCCCAGCGTAAGTAACAACAGATCCTAGTCCCTAAACTGCCTTCCAGTGAGGATGGGTCTAGTTCAGTGCAGGGCTTTTGCTTAGTGGAGTGGTGTGTGCAAATTGGGACTTTGCTGCCGTAAGGATTTTCCTCTGTCCTTCCCCTGAAGAGGATTCAACTAACCTGCTGTCGTTGAGTCAACTCGGACTTATGGCGATCCCATATGTGTCAGAGAAGAACTGTGCTCCCTAGGGTTTTCACTGGCAGACTTTTCAGAGGTAGATCACTAGGCCTTTCTTCTGAGGCACCTCTAGGTGGCCTTGAACCTCCAACTTTTCAGTTAGCAGCCGAGTGAATTAACCATCTGTACACCCAGGGACTCTAGGATTCAGCTAACCCCTCTTTGTTGTTGTTAGGTGACGTCAAGTTGGTTCCGACTCATGGTGGCCCTACGCACCACAGAACGAAACACTGCCCTGTCCTGCGCCATGCTCACAATCATTATTATGCTTGAGCCCATGGTTGCAGCCACTGTGTCAATCCATCTCGTTGAGGGTCTTCCTCTTTTTCGCTGACCCT